AGAGAGGAAGGGAGAGGGATAGAGAGTTAGAAACATCGATGAGAGAGAAACATCGATCACCTGCCTCCTGCACATCCCCTACTGGGTATGTGTCCGCAACCAAGGTACATGCCCTTGACCGGAATCGAACCCGGGACCCTTGAGTCCGCAGGCCGACGCTCTACCCACTGAGCCAAACCGGTTTGGGCTCCCCCACTTTTTTATTGAGGTAAAATACATATGACATAAAATGCACTGTTTTAAACCATTTTTCAGGGTACAGTTCTGTGTCATGAAGTGCACTCACACTGTTCTGCAGCCACCCACACTATCATCTCTAAAACGTTTTTATCTTCCCAAACGGACGCTTGGTGCCCGTGAAGCCATCACTGCCCGTTCCCCTCCCCCACGCCCCTGGCAGCAGCCATTGCGTTTATGTCGCCCACGGCGAACACGCCACTGGGACACTCGAGGGGCCCCACTACCCAGAGGCCACCCTTCCTCCCGGCTCCACTGCCCACCCTTCACTGGGACATGACGGCTCCCATGGGCCACATGTGACTCTGTGCCTCCCATAACTAGACTCAGACAGTCTTTGTCCTTCTGTGCCTGGCTTATGTCACTACTCACGTTTTCATGGTTCATCCAATGTTTAGCCTATGTCAGAATTTCTTTCCTTTTCTAAGATCATACCACACTTGGAGCTTTCACACTCTTCCTCTGGGCAAATCCCTTGGAAGCAGAATGTTCCAATTTTACACATTTTGTGTCAATTTTCCAGATAGAAAAAAAACAGCCCCTGGACATGAGACGTTCCGCTAGGAAAGGCCGTTTCCTCGGTTTTATTTGATGCCCCCGCGTCAGGGTCCCGCTGGTCCCTACTACGCTTAGCGGTGCCCGGACCACTTGACACAAAACACTTCCTTTCCTTGATTTAACCTTTGACTTGGGAATGTAAAAGTTTTATCAGCTCGGGAGTGGAAGCACGTGTGTGTGTGTGTGTGTGTGTGTGTGTGTGTGTGTTGGGGGGGAGTCTTCCTCCGGCCGCAGAAATGGACTCGGGGTTCTCTCTATACATCTGCCTTCTGCCGAAGCCTCGACAAAAAGTGAAGGAGCTAATCTTATAACGAACTTTTGAAGCGTCTCCTGCCTTTTGTTTTAAAAGAATTGGTCCTAACGTGTTTGGTTTATGTCTATATAGACGTTACCAGGCTGTGAGCGTCACGGATATTCTGTTAAAGAAACGACACTTTTCGTTTTATAAAACCTTGAGTGAAATCCCTCGTTCAGTCCATAGTAGATATGGGATACATTTAAAAACTTTTTTTTTTTCCTAGGGTCTTTGTGGTTGGTGGCAAGAGCTAGGTTTTGATGGTGTTTGGGACTAAAATTTAGTGGGAAAGTATCTTAACTTACGGATAATCCGATTAAGAGCTTAACCATTACTTACAGATGAATTGCGTGGAACGTGTATTGTTTGGACATTTTCTAAGAGGCCACAAAAATAAAAACGCGAGAATAACATTTCTTGCCCCAGCAAGGTGAGCTGATATGAGTTACAAACAGAGCTTTGGATTCTGATCACGTTATGAAAACGAATAACAGATAATATTCCGTTTCCCTGTAACAGTCAGGAGAACACAGGTTTAGTGCGTTCCTGCCTTCCGGGATCAAACGGTTTGAAATGCTATCAATTTAATGTTCATCTGGTCATCTTGTTTCTTGATTCTAGATAATATAGACATTTTTCAGTTACTGTTATTATTACTTTTTTTGCAGCTACCTGCCATGGTTTGAAGTCTATTACAAGCTTCTGAATACGCTGGCAGATTACTTGGCTAAGGAACAGGTAAGCAATGTTTTTCCCCCACTTTTAAAAAATATATATATATTTTATTGATTTTTTACAGAGAGGAAGGGAGAGGGATAGAGAGTTAGAAACATCGATGAGAGAGAAACATCGATCAGCTGCCTCCTGCACACCCCGCACTGGGGATGTGCCCGCAACCAAGGTACATGCCCTTGACTGGAATCGAACCTGGGACCCTTGAGTCCGCAGGCTGATGCTCTATCCACTGAGCCAAACCGGTTAGGGCTCCCCCACTTTTTTATTGAGGTAAAATACATATGACATAAAATGCACTGTTTTAAACCATTTTTCAGGGTACAGTTCTGTGTCATGAAGTGCATTCACACTGCTCTGCAGCCACCCACCCTACCATCTCTAAAAAGTTTTTATCTTCCCAAACGGACGCTTGGTGCCCGTGAAGCCATCACTGCCCGTTCCCCTCCCCCACGCCCCTGGCAGCAGCCATTGCGTATATGTCGCCCACGGCGAACACTCCATTTCTGTGGAAATCAGTTGTACAGAGCCAGCCTAACATGAGAAGGCACGGTGGCTGACTTTATCGAATCGTTTTCATCATATTTGCTCAATATATATTACAATATTATATTCATTTGAGGTGTACAAGCCAGTGATGAGACATTACATAACTTAGTAAGTGATCACCCCAAAAAATCTATTACCCATCTGACACCATACATAGCTTTTAGAATATTATTGACTATATTCCCTATGTTGTACTTTAACATCCCCATGACTATTCTGTAACTACAAATTTGTACTTCTTAATCTCTCCACCTTTTTCACCCATTCACCCTCCAACCTCCCTCCCATCTGGCAGCTGTCAAAATGTTCTCTGTATCTATGAGTCTGTTTCTGTTCTGCTTGTCCATTTATTTTGCTTTTCAATCTATTTTTTTAAATATATTTTATTGATTTTTTACAGAGAGGAAGGGAGAGAGATAGAGAGTTAGAAACATCGATGAGAGAGAAACATCGATCAGCTGCCTCCTGCCCATCTCCCACTGAGGATGTGCCCGCAACCCAGGTACATGCCCTTGACCGGAATCGAACCTGGGACCTTTCAGTCCGCAGGCCGACGCTCTATCCACTGAGCCAAACCGGTTTCGGCTTCTTTCCTGTTAATACTAAATACTATCCCAGTGTATGCACAGACCAGATTTTGCTTGTTCATGCATCTTAGTTGAACACTTGGGTTTGTTCACCTGTTGGCTATGGTCAACAAGGCTGCTATGTGCATGGGTGTGCAAATATATGTTTGAGTCCCTGCATTCAGATCTTTTGAGAATATACTCAGAAGTAGAACTGCTGAGTAATACGGTAATTCATATTTAATTGTTTTGAAGAATTGTGCAATCCATATAATTTTGGTTTTCCGAGAAGAGGACATAACACTACATTTGTGTCCTTTATTAGAGGAAAAATATTATCAGTTCACGGTATGAGTAACCAGAAGGAAATCTTTAATTTTTATTATTTTTATTTTTAATCGACTCCCCCGGGTTATTTAGATGGATATTTAGATTTTATAATTCAAGTTATCCTTACGCAACCTACAGTGGGCAGGTACCAAGGATTTTTAAAAGCTGGACTTTGACAAAATTCATGTGGCCATAGGAACTTTATATAGCCAGAGCATCGATATCATCCGGAATATTCTGTGGTATATTTCATTGTTGAAATGGTAAAGGGATAAAGTCTTTGTTGTCTTCTTTTTTGGTTGTTCTAAAGAGAATTCCAGATAGGCAGCTGGGAGTGCACGCCTTTGCAGACGTTCATAGTGATCGGAATTAAATTTGATGGCCAAGTTCAAAGAAACCTTGTGAGAAGCCGTGTCCCGTGTCCACATCCCTCAAAATTAGTTGTTACCGTCCTTGAAGAATTGCCTTTCCTTTCGTTTATTCTCCCAACCTAAACATTTTAAGAGAGAATAAAAATAACTATATATTTAAAAAGCTGCCTTTCTATATCTATTACTGGATTTGCGTGAGTAAATCAGAAAGAGTAAGTGTGCACATCAAGATACATTTTAATTATAAAAATCTAGGAGGTAGATCTGTTATATAATTTATTTAATTCCATTTTTTTTTTGTGGGTCGGGTAGGGACCAGTTGCTACTTAGAAAAGAAATATTTAGGATAACCTCTGTGTTGGATCTTAGTATGATATCTTAAGTTATTCTTATTCCTTAAAAAATTAGGTTTGAGATTTTAAAATTAAAATAGGAGGTGGAAGCTTTCAGTAATCTGATAAATTGTATTGCTGTTTTTATGCCATTCCCTTGTTCTTGGATTTAATGCTTTAAATAATTTCTTTCCTTAGATAACAGTATATTTTATAAGAATTAAATGTTGCCAAATATATATTTATAATAAATATAAGGATTGCTGTTATTCTTTCTGGATAAAGCCATAGGAATGTCTTTTCTAGATTAGATTGAAATATTTGAATTTTGGGTATTTAGAGCATTTCTGTGGAAATCAGTTGTACAGAGCCAGCCTAACATGAGAAGGCACGGTGGCTGACTTTATCGAATCGTTTTCATCATATTTGCTCAATATATATTTGATTTATAAAATTTACCTCTTTGTTTACTGTAGGAAAATGATTTGAATGCAGTTCTCACAGCGCTCTATAACCACCCAGTCCCCAAGGCAAACAGCCCTGTCAATCTGAGTGTGGTAAGTACGCAGGCAGTTAATTGATTTGTGGGCGTTATAGATGCATCTCATTTAAGAACACATGCACCTTTAGGGAACTTCGTCCTACATTCACCTCTGCTCCCAGGAAAGCGTCAGTGCTAGAACGAACATCACACTGAGACTTAGGACAGTGAGGCTTTTGGACCTGCTTTAACCATCCTCACCTAATACGTTGGATGTGTATCTTGGTAGTTGTTAAATCAGTGGGGTTTTTGTTTTTTGTCTTTTTGTAATATTTTGAATCAGTAGTCTCTGATAGCTTTCAAATCTTTGCACCTATTCTCAATACAATATCTTAAGTGTTGGTACATTCAGCAGGTGAATGAAATAGTGCCTTAACTTTGTATAAAGCTTATTTTGAAATTTCATTTGATTTCAGAGCAGGTGAGGAGTCACGCGCCCAGCCCCGTGCTGTTAACGAGGGGCAAAAGTTGTGATTAAATTATTTATTTTGAACTACTGGTAGCCGTTCTAGTTTTATGAGTTAGGAATTTTGTTCCTCCTCAAATAGAAAGAAATTTTTGTTTCCAGAATTTCCGTTAGAAAAATGTGAGAACTCTTGAGGAGGCACTCTGGTCCTCTTACAGTCTCCTATTTCTTACAATCTCCATGTTCCAGCACATGGATTCTTCAAGACTTGATGTTATGGCCGCTAGAATATCGCAGCGAGGCTGTGAAAGTGGAATATCTCATGTAAATGGTTATTTTGAAACCGTCTTTCAGAATCGTTACCTACCCACAGTGTTCTCTACTCTCAGGAGAGAATGAAAATAAGTCCTTTCAGATTATCCATACAATGAGCAGAGCTGCATTTAAAATCACATTTATCATCATTGCTCTTCAAATGTTTTCAGTGGACAGTGTGGCTAACGCGGGTTTGTCTCGGCGACGCAGCCAGTGGCGGTGCAGACTTCCCCCTTGAAAGTAAAAATATTCATTTTTTTCTCTCATATATCATAAGAACCAAGAGATATTTATTGCCAGTGAGCAAGTTCTGAGAGATCAGCCCTCCCTAGCACCGGTGAGTTCCAAGGGCATCAACTTCTCAAAATCACTATCACATTGGGAAAATGATCCTTTCACTGTGTCTTTAAGATTCACTCCCGTCTGTGGGAAATGGGGAATGGGTCTCTCGGAAGGAAATTAATCACGTGGGATATATTTTCTGTTTATACTCCTTTTTAAAGCTCAGTTGTGTGAAATTCAGTTCTTTTGAAAACCCCTCCAAGTAAAAGCAGTCAGCAGAGACCAAATCCACGCATATTCTCCATTGTCAGAAGTAGTGATGTTGAAGTGCATTTTAGGAGTGAGAGTTCCGTCACTTTTTTTTTTTTTTTTTGGTCACAAGGTCCCTGGAGGCCTTGCGGTCTCTCTCATCTTGTTCTCCTGTCCTGGAAAATTATACATGGTCTGTGGGAACTAGCCTTGTCTCGCTAGTTCAACGGAGCTCAGTATTGGCTCGAATGGCTCCCCCACCCCCATCTTTAATCCTAAAACAGTATTAAACATGTCCATCTGTGATGAAGATAGTAAAGTGATTTTGGAGATTGCTATGAACAGAAAATAAAACAATTCTAGTGATTCACTGGGACTCTGATTCCGGGTGGTAGATGCGGGATGGGGAACGGGCCGGCGTACACGGTGTGCTTTTTATTCCGATCCGGCTGAGACCTGTGGTGTTGCTTCAGATATCGAAGCTAATTCGTATTCGTTGAGGGGATGTATGAAGGCCACAACATTTTGAAACGAGTCACTGTATTTTTAGGAAGTTTTAAAGGCCGAAACATCGTTTGCTTGCCGCTTTCTAAATCGTACAGCGACGGAGATGTACCAGAGAAATCTGTGGTGGCTGTCCATAGGAAATCTTAGATTTTGATATATTTTTTGGGGAAGCAAACCTTATTGTGCAGTCTGCCTAAACTAAACGTGTTTTTAAATATATAAATATATAGTATAAGTATATACAAAAATGAAGAGATATCTATCTTACAGCGATATGCTTTTTGTTCTCAACTGTATTTAGGACTTTGTAAAATTCAATATTTTCAACCACTTAATTTTTAAAAAAATTTTATTGATTTCAGAGAGAAAGGGAGAGGGAGAGAAAAACATCCATGATGAGAGAGAATCATGGATCGGCTGCCTCCTGCACGCCCCCTACTGGGGATTGAGCCCACAACCCGGGCATGTGCCCTAATGGGGAATCGAACCCAGGACCCTTCAGTCCACAGGCCGATGCTCTATCCACTGAGCCAAACCAGCCAGGGCCAACACTTAGTTCTTTATATGAGAAAGTGATTGCTGAAGCTCCTTTAAACCTCATTGACATAATCTCTCAAATTCAACAAATCCTGAGCATTGGTCCTCGGTATCTACAAACCCAGTCGCTATAGTTTTTCTTCTTTTTACCCCACGTGGTATGCGATGCTGCCCCGTTGTAACCCTCCTCCCCCCGTGTGCTTCCTCCTGTCCATTAGCACTCCTACTTCATCGCCCCCGACGTAACCGGACTCCCAACCATCCCCGAGAGTGTAAGTTTATTCTGCTTATGCTTTTTATTCTATTTCCTGTGTGGATTTCCTGTTTAAGGGTCCCTGTGTAAAGACATAGAAGATGTAGTAACTATCTGTGGTTCTGAGAAATAATGAAGAAATAAGGAGTAACGTGGTTCTCTCTCTCTCTCTCTCTCTCTTTCTCTCTCTCTCTCTCTCTCTCTCTCTCTCTCCTTTATGTTCCTGCTACTTTACCCGCTTCTGAATATCAGGGTGTGGTCAGGAGAATGGTGTGAGAACCAGTATTTCCATCATTTGAGATAGTTCAGGGGATCGTATATTTCAGTGAGGATCAGGGAGGGAGCGTTTCTCATGGGAGGACTTCTATGGGTGGGGAATGGCTACCGCAGTCGGAAATATTTCCACACAAATAGCCACCTCCGTGAACTGACCGGAGTATCTGAGATCCCTGCTTCTATCTCTGTTCAGCTCTTAGGTGTCTCGTGCCTGAGTTCTGGATTCTCACTGAAGCGATAGCATGCTTCGTAAGGCCTGAGGGGTATTAACAAGAAATTGTAAAAGTTGCTAAGTTTTGCATTTGATGTCCCAATTGGTTGTAGCCAATATTAGAAATATTCTTTTTAGAAAATATATATATTTTATTGATTTTTTACAGAGAGGAAGGGAGAGGGATAGAGAGTTAGAAACATCGATGAGAGAGAAACATCGATCAGCTGCCTCCTGCACACCCCCTACTGGGGATGTGCCCACAACCAAGGTACATACCCTTGACCGGAATCAAACCTGGGACCCTTGAGTCCGCAGGCCGATGCTCTATCCACTGAGCCAAACCGGTTAGGGCAATATTAGAAATATTCTTAGTGCTTTAATATTTATTCCCAGTTAATACTGCGTAGGAAAGTGTACATTGCTGAGTGTCAGCGGAAAGATGCTTTTGGACGCAGTGTGGAAAGGGAGTATTTTTCCTGCGTGATTTCTGGTCTGCTCCCCTTGGGAAGATAAAATGAACCGGTAGAAGCAACTCGATCGCACGTGAGGGAAACATCAACGGGAAAAGAACACTTCCCGGAATATTTATTATTTCCTCGGAACTCCACTCTTCCTCCAAACCTGTTTCCAAAGCTCCTAAGTGGTTTGTGTCCGAAAAGCACACGTGTGACACGTGAATAAGCCCAAGAAATCAGTTGTGAAATTTCTCGTGTCAAACCCAGACGGTGTGTGGATGGTGTTGCCAGTGCAGACGCGTCCAGAGAGCTCCTGGGGCAGGTCTCCGCTCGTGGCTCTGAATGTGGGCCTGAGGGGGGCCACCCAGAGGCTCAGGGCACCTCACAGGCCTCAAGTCCGCGTGCTGCTCCTGCAAGGCCGGGCCGCCCTGCTCTGTCCTCCTGGCAGCCGACCCCTCATGCCTTGACTGATATGACCCTGGACCCTTCCCTTCAGAATTTTCATTTTATTTATTTTTTGTTAATCCTCGCCAGAGGATATATTTTTTTCCCCATTGATTTTTAGAGAGCGTGGAAGAGAGGGTGGGAGGGAGGAAGGGGGGAGAGAGAAAGAAAGAGAGAGAAACATCTATGTGAGAGAGACACATTGATTGGTAGAGAGAGAGGGAGAGGGAGAGGGAGAAACATCTAGGTGAGAGAGACCCTGATTGGTTGACAGAGAGGAAGAGGGAGAGGAAGAGAGAGAAACATCTGTGCGAGAGAGACACATGGACTGGTTGCCTCCCGCACACACCTTGACTGGGGCCCTGAATTGAACCTGCAATCCAGGTACGGGCCCAGCTGGTATAGCTCAGTGGTTGAGCATCGACCCATGAAACACCCCAGTCAGGGCACATGCCTGGGTTTTGGGCTCGATCCCCAGTGGGCGGGCATGCAGGAGGCAGCCCATAGATGATGCTTCTCTCTCAAACATGTTTCTATCTCCTTCTCCCTTTCCCTCTCCCTGACCCTCTCTCTAAAAAAGTCAATGAAAATATATATATATATATTTTAAAAAGACCATTAACTGTGTAAGACGTGTTCCTCGATCATCCCCACGCACCCTAACGCGCACACTGTGGTTTTTCTCGCGAGCAGAGGAACCTCACCGAGTACTTCGTGGCCGTGGACGTGAGCAACATGCTGCAGCTGTACGCCAGCATGCTGCACGAGCGGCGTATCCTCATCACCTCCAGCAAGCTCAGCACCGTGAGTACCACCCCGTCTCCTAGGCAACCTTGTCGCGCGCATCACAAAGGCCCCCCCCCCCCTGCATCCCGCGCATCACAAAGAGGCCGCGCGCCTCTGCGGAACTCGGACAGGTTCCCCTTGTCCCGGGAGACAATATCCGCGGCCCGTGTCTGATAAGTGGTTGTCCCGCGGCTCTTGAAGGACAAAAGTCTGATTTATGGAAGGCGGCCTGCGATGCATTAAGTCGGGTTAATTATTTTTTTTCTGATCCGGGAGATGAGAGTTGTGCGTGTTTTTTTTCTTTTCCTCCCCCTCCATTTTTCTTGTTAACTCTCCCGGGTTCATTTGACTGCCTTCTGCCAGAGAAAGAATTCTGAAGAGCTATTATGAGAGGGTGATTATTCACTTGTGGCTTGTTCCCCGGGCGCTTGCCTGAAAGGGACCCGGGCCCCAGGAGAATAGCCGCTCTCCCAACCGGGCAGTAGGTGGGTGCCTCTTTGTTGCCAAGCGCGGGTTTGCTGGAAGATTCTATAGGAGCTGGGACTTGGAGGGGCTCTTCAGACAGATAATAACTTAAAAGTCAAAGCAGCATTTTTTTAATATTATTAATCACACGTTGTTCGCCGCTCCCTGAAACGGGCTATGGAAGCTCTTGAAGGCGGTGAGAATCGGAGTGTCTTTGGGCCATAGAAAAAGAGTCACAAGTCTTTTGCTACATTTCCTGGTTTTTTTCCCCCCTGCTTTCGATATTGCAATTTTTAATATTTTTGATGGACTTAAAAATTTTAAATATCCACTTAAATAGATATTTAGCCTAATACGTGAGATATTTATTAAAACCCATTATTTAAGATGGCATGAGCTTGCTGTCTTAAGCATTTGGGTAGCTGGTAAAAAGGAGGTAACATATACATGTTTTGTTCTGTCGTAGAAATAGAAATGAAGTTTGGTATTTTCGAGTAGAGAGAGTTTCAGGATCTTTCTAGGAGGTCGGTATCGTATTGAATGGCGAGAGAGGTGGTATCAGAGGGGTTACATGCCCACCCACAGGCCCCAGAGCTCACCGGAGACAGGTCATGTGGTCCAGGGTTTTCTGCTTCTAATTTTGGGTTGTTCCCGTGACTCTATAATCGAAAAACCACGGTTTTCAGATTTTTGAATTGAAATATCGATATGCTCACTTTTTCAAAAAAAATTGGAGATATATTATTTTACATCTTGAAAGACACATCACTTGCACTTAAAGGAGGAAGCGTGGAGGATGTAACAGGCAGCGACAAAGGTGATTTCTTGCATTTTCTTAAAGCGATATCGAGAAATTCAGTCTGAATCGGTATAAATTTGCTTTTCTGCCATTTTTTAAATTGACCACTGCGGTAAAACCAGTCTTCTTTCTTCTCCCTCTTCTCTTCATCCTCATCCTTTTTTGAACATGTACACACACATATACATACATACACATGTACACACATATACATATACATACATGCATACACTACATACATATGCATACATATGCATACAGGCGAAGTGCTAAGAATTCCATCTACATAAGAACCAATGATTCTTCAATGATTGTCAGCTATAATTTTCTAAGGGACTAGATAATGCAGTTTAAAGAGTAACAGACCCGCCCTTTAACTTTATCTGAATTAAAAAAATAAATTGTTTTACTAAAGGCGTGGTCTCGCTCAGGGAGTTGTTTCCCATGTTCGAGGTACTAAACCCAATGCCAATGGTTTATGGCCGTTCGAGAAAGCTGGATGGCAGTGTCATCTCTAAGTTCCCTCTCTGGGGCGTAGGGCTGATCACAGACACACAGATCAAGTTCACGGTCAGGATCTGCTACCCGTCTTAGGTGGGGGAAGCCGCTTCACCTGGGTCTCTCTCTCTTGGAAATTCGTGTCTAGATCTGCCACGAATCCTACGCACGGTAACACTTAAGGTCAGAGACCAGGACCGTATGTAAATTAGGAAGGAACTGATTTTAGAAAGAATTTAGTGAAACCTCAGAGACATCCAAGGAAAGAGTAAAGTGTCTGTGAAATGACTTGTTGTAAAGGTTTTCATAGTCTTATATTTCTTTCTATGCCATAAAGACTAGAATGCACTTCATCTTAACGCAATGAATTGTACTACCTGTTCTAAAAATCTACAGCCAAAATTTTAATTCTTGAAAGAACACATATGAGTTAAGGTGTGTTTACATTCACTATTTGATTGTCATTTGAGGAATTGTGTTTGCGTTTTTTACCCTTTGACGTTCATAATTTTATTCTAATCACGCTTGTCCGCCTTATAGCTTGCTGGGGGTTTTAGCGCTGACGCACAGTTAGAGAATTCAGTTACTCGAGGCTCTGTTTTCTTTACCTACTGTTTGTAGTTAAAATTGTACTTTTTCATCATCTTTATAGAGATGAACTTTAACATAAAAAAACTAGTTCTGAGATATGTTAGCAAAAATATTAAGAGTGTTGTTATGGCCCAGCTGGTGTGGCTCAGTGGTTGAGCATTAACCTATGAACCAGGAGGTCACGGTTCGATTCCTGGTCAGGGCACATGCCCAGTTGTGGGCTCGATCCCCAGTGTGGGGCGTGCAGGAGGCAGCCGATCCATGATTCTCTCTCATCATTGATGTTTCTATCTCTCGCTTCCTCTCCCTTCCTCTCTGAAATAAATAAAAGCATATTTAAAATAAAATAAAATAAAATGTTAATGTGTCGCCCCCACCCCCCTTATTATAAGTGTAGTGTTTTCCTGGGACCCATTATTATATTTTTATGTGTTTGAGTTTCATGCACTAGGACAGTCAGTGGTCGGCAAACTCATTAGTCAGCAGAGCCAAATATCAACAGTACAGCGATTGGAATTTCTTTTGAGAGCCAAGTTTTTTAAACTTAAACTATATCAGTAGGTACATTGTTATTAACTTAATTAGGGTCCTCCTAAGGCTTAGGAAGAGCCACACTCAAGGGGCCAAAGAGCCGAGTGTGGCTCGCGAGCCGCAGTTTGCCGACCACGGCACTAGGACATAGCACCTCCATGTTTATTCTGTCGACACTTCCATTGTCAAGTACACACGGCTGGGGGGCGGGGCGTCCTGGAAACCCTGAAGGAGAATGTGGGGTGTCATCCATGCAACAGACAGGCATGTCCCCACGGGGGGGCGGGGGTGGGTGGGTGCACCTCGGCGGGGCTTGCGGAACATCAGAGCAGAGGATCCATCATGATCGTACACGCGTAGATCCCTCGACTCCTTGCTGCTTTACGACCGGAGCCGGGAACACGGCTGTCGAAAGTCATGTCCCCGCGTCTCAAGGCGGTTGGGCGTGCAGCGCTGTCATCCGCGTCTGTCACGGTCCCTCAGACCTCCTCTGAGCAGCCGGCCGGGGCTGTGCGTCTTGTCCCATCGGCCAGCGTCTGACAGGGCCTCCCCATCACACTGTCAGTCTTCTGCTAACGAGGGTGGGCCTCCCTGGCCTGCAGCGGGGGAGCGGGGTGCCTCTCTCTGAAGCCGATCTCTAATCGGGGGCTCCTGTCCGGACCCACGTTTAGTTGGTAAACATCTCCCTCCCGAAGCCATAAGCACGTTAGTTCCAGAGATTGGAGCGAGGGCGCCCGCCCCTTCGGGAACACGCCCAGCGAGCAGTATGCCGCGCGTGCTGGAATCGTGTTAATAAACTGTAATGTCTGCCTTTGTGGGAGATGCCCCCGGGCAGCCAGGCATATGCTTTCGCTCCTCCTCTCGCTAATTCCGTCCAGGGCACCTGCCAGCAGAAAGCTCTGTGATCCCTGGAAAATCGGCCGTGAAGATGGGGATTTCACAGGCTTGGTTGGGCTAAAGGGGAGTCGGGGGGGCTTGAACCTCTCCATCTGGATCTTGAGGATCCGTGACTTGTCTCTCACTGGGGTCACCTTTGTGGGCACTGAGCCCGAACCCCAAAGCTGGGAGCATCTTGCTGGAGATCAGGAACTGAACGGTTGGCGAGGGAACAGGCGTGACCCAGGCCCACTTCTTTGCGAAGATTATCCGAGCGCACGTCCCCCCTCGTGTTTGCCGAGCTGCAGCCGAGGGGTGCCGTTGCATGTCGTCATTGAGACCCCTCAGGGAGGGAGATGCTAGGAATTTTAGATTTTTCATTCTCTCCGAAGCCCATAGCAACCAGTGATGTCAGCTGACTCGGTCCCTGCTAATTCTCCTTCCCAGGGTGTTGTGTGACGTGTATTTCCATTCAGAGCTAAGGGAGAGGGACAGGGGTGTGGAGATAGGACCGGGTGACAGAGAGCCATGGGTCGGCTGCCTCCTGCACACCCCACACTGGGGATCAAGACTGCAACCCGGGCAGGTGCCCTTGACTGGGAATTGAACCGTGACTTCCTGGTTCAAGGTCACCACTGGGGTGGTCAGGTGGCACTTTGTTGGCAGGTACGGCTGGAGGTTCATCGGAGGGAACTTCTAAGACAGGAAAATTCTCCTCCTGTCTCGTGCTTGTCCGGCTGTCCACCCCACAGACTCACTCTCCGTCATGTCGTTCGGATAAAATGTTTTCCGTCAGTAGATGTGACTCAGGGTCTCAGAAGGGTGGGCATTTCGGACCTTTGTATGTGGGAAGGCAGTCGGAAAGAAAGGTTCTCGATTGGGCCTGCCTGGGCTGGAGTCCTGGCTTGGCCGCTTGCGAGGTGTGTGATCTTGGGCAACTGGTCTACCTTTGCCATCGTGCCCTGGTCCGTCGGTGGGAATAGTGGTCACAGATGTGAGAATGTTAGGTTCTCAGAGGAGTGCGGGCACATGGTCAGCGTCCTAGAGACGTTTGCTCTTGTAGTTATCGTCAGTGACATTCGACCTGGGGGCCTGGGACCGGAAGTTCCAGGTGCCTTTGTCCCATGACCACGGTCACTGTCCCCCGCCTTCGTGGTCAGGTTTCTCCCGTGGACTTCTCGTCTCTTCCCGTGGCTTCCACCTGTGCTGACTCTACAATCGCAGTGTGTGGGGAATCGGTGTTCCCGGGGGTTTGATCTCGCATTAGTCAGCACTTTGAGGGAGCTTTGTGGGGTTACAGGTGCGGGGAGATATTCACATGCCACTGGACCCAGATGGGGAGGGTTTTTTTCTTCTCTTAAACCATTATTTGGTCAATTTGTTCCTCTTTGAACTTCACGAGAAGCAGCAGGGATGATGAAAGAAGCAGCTGGAAGATACCAGAAAAGCACTGTGGCCCGGCCGGCGTGGCTCAGTGGTTGAGCGCTGACCTATGAACCAATAGGTCACGGTTGGATTCCCGGTCAAGGGCACATGCCTAGGTGGTGGGCTTGATCCCCAGGAGGCAGCTGATCCATGATTCTCTCTCATCATGGATGTTTCTCTCTCTCTCTCTCTCCCTCTCCCTTCCTCTCTGACATCAATAAAAATATATTTTAAAAAAAGGAAAAGCAGTGTAGCTTCCTGGCCTCGTCACCAGCCAGGCGGAACCTCGGGTAATCTAGCCCCAAAATGTGATTGTCGCTGCCCTTGAAGGTTCAGGATCCAGTAGGTCATGAATAACTAAAAAGCAAGAAACTTCTCCCTCTCGCTGGCTTTTAAACTGAGCTTATTTCCTGCTAGGACTTTGTTCTTCTAACCAAACTTCTTCTAAACCGCATTGTTTATTTCCCTTCGTTGGCTCGGCTCTCAGAGGGGTGCAGGGACAGGATTGGTCGGGACAGTTAGCGCTGTCTTAGCGTCAGGGACAGAGCCTGCGTGCTGACCGTCATCAGAGGTGGTGACTGCTTAGCATTGGGAGCTCATTCTTCCGGAAGCCGGTCCAACGCTCCAGCTGCTCTTGTGCCTCATTCATAACGGCCATGAAGGATGACTCCTGGGGGCGTCGGGGACGGATCTAGGTGACGTGTACCCGCGGACTTTGGGTTCTGGGTGTGGCCCGGAAGATAAGTGACCCTGAGTACATCCCTCACCTTGAGAATGTGTTTCTTCCTCTGTTACCCTGTTCATTGTGTTTCTGCACCACACACACCCGGGCCACCGTCCTTCTCAAGGGGTGAAAGGAGGGGTTTTCAAAGCCATGTCTGGAGAAATGGAGGAAGTGAGCAAAAGAGCTGCCTTTTCCTTAACCCTTCCCGTGGGAGGAGGGTTCGCACAGTCGGGGGGATGCCTGCTTTCCACCCAGGGAGTGCCCGAAAGCTCTCGGGGAAGGCGACGCTGGCTAGATGAACCCCGTTTTTATTATCCTCTGGCTCAGATACGGGAGATAAGGGAGTCCATGGTCCGCAATCGCTAAATGGAAGCATTTGCATGCCTCCTAGTGGCCTATGGCGTGTTGGAATGAAGGAATTTGAAACGAGTGTTGATTGAAAGACGGCTGTCGATGAGCTGTGAAGGCTTGCAAGGGTGAAGCACTAAAACCCGTCAATGGTATTTATTCTAAACGGAACCAAAATCGATCGTTTTTTCACATGTCACTAATGACAAATCTAATTGGCAAAAGACAGAACACACGTGATGAAGAGGAATAGGCTTTTAATCAAAATGTGTATGTTTTTGGTTCCCGACTAGATTATCTTAATTAATTTTTTTAATTCTGTAGAGCTACTTGGCACTTGAATATAGACAGTGCTGCTATTGAGATTGAATTGAGAGGGGAAGGGGGTGGGGGAGGGAGCAGAGGGAAAAGGGGGGATCAGTGGTGATGGAAGGAGACTCGACTTGGGGCTGCTGAACACACAATACAATACACAGATGATGGTGTAGATTTGTACCCCCGAAACCTATATGATCTTATTAACCAGTGTCACCCCAGTATATTCAATAAGAAAATACTAAACTGCTTTGTATGCATTTAATTTTTAAATTAATTTGATTACTGTGTGTAAAATTTTCATTCCCTCTCTAATGAAAGAGAAATGATGCTTAATAGGAAGTCTGTGGCCCGTTTTCAGATGGTTTTATTTCTCAAATCTGATTCCCAAGCTGGGCAAAATGATTTCCTCAGTCGCCTTGAAAGGCAGACCCTAGCAACCCTTTAAAACGATGATGCATGCTGATTCATTTATTGCTGTAAACACTGGGGAAGAAAGACGACTCCCCGCTTACAGGAATGGAATTTAAAATGCACAGAAAATCACGGGAAGAATTCTGCTGCGGGTCCATAGGACGGAAGAAGGGGGGAATAGAGAGGGGAGGTATCTTTACGTGAGGCGTTGAAAAGATTTAATTAGCCACTCGCCAAATCAAAACAATTAAAATGGCAATTCCCTTTGCAATCGCAGCCACGTCCGGGCAGCTGTCTTGATCCGCAGCTGGGCCCCCAAACGGGCGTCGGGAAGGAGGAGCCGAAGGAGGGGATGATGATATTCCTGGCTTCCTGCGGCCCAGCTGCCAGGCGCGGCCCGCGCTGGTCAATAGTGACATCCCATGTGTCAGCGAGCAGCGTCTCTGGGTACCGCGCCCCGCGGTCCACACGCTGCGGAGGCCCCAGCTGGCGGGCAG